TCAAACTTCACACACTCTATTTGCTTCGCTTTGCTTATACACACACGTTTGCACAAAAAAATGGTTTTCGAAAAGCTACACCTTTTGCCATCGTTGATTCTTATCAGAGATAGTTAATCACAGGCAGTACACCCAAATTCTGTCTTTTCTTTGGTGGTGGTCATGGCGAGTAACAGTGGAAAGTCCGGCAAAGAGGGTGTTGAAGAGACCCATCATCACGAGGTGTTTGGTGAAAGTGAAGGCCGGGATTCGAGAAAGAGAAGGGAAAGTGTGTGGATTTGAGCTCAGGGAGGAGACAATGGAAGCCAGTTTTTGATGATGCTTCTATCTCACAAAGGCCTCTCAAGAAAATCCGCAGCCCCGAACACCAAAGCCCCAATCAGCAACCTTCTTCATCATCTTCCTCTATGCTCTCTCTCCAACCTCCTTCATCGAGAATAGTGTTTCCTTTCGCTTTTGAAGGCAATCAACACCCAATGCCATCATTCCCACACTCATTCGGAACCACAAACTTGCCTCTTTTTCGTCCCCCTCTTCAGCCAACGCAACAAATGATATCGTTTGGGTCCCAACAGAACATGGGGTATCCACAATTCCTTTGCCCGGATTCCACCGTACCAAACCAACAACAGCTCCAGCAGCAGCAGCAACAACAGCAGTATCAGTATCAGCAGCAGCAGCAGCTTCTTCAGTATTGGAATGACGCACTCAATTTTGAGTCCCCCCCCCCCCCACCCCCCCCCCCCCCCCCCACCCCCACCCCCCCCCCACCCCCCACCCCACCCCCCCCCCCCCCACACCCCCCCCCCCCCACCCCCCCCCCCCCCCCCCCCCCCCCCCCCCCCCCCCACCCCCCCCCCCCCCCCCCCCCCCCACCCCCCCCCCCCCCCCCCCCCCCACCCCCCCCCCCCCCCCCCCCCCCCCCCCCCCCCCCCCCCCTCCCCCCCCCCCCCCCCCCCCCCCCCCCCCCCCCCCCCCCCCCCCCACCCCCCCCCCCCCCCCCCCCCCCCCCCCCCCCCCCCCACCCCCCCCCCCCCCCCCCCCCCCCCACCCCCCCCCCCCACCCCCCCCCCCCCCCCCCCCCCCCCCCCCCCCCCCCCACCCCCCCCACCCCCCCCCCCCCAGACCCCCCCCCCCCCCCCCCCCCCCCCCCCCCCCCCCCCCCCCCCGCCCCCCCCCCCCCCCCCCCTCCCCCCCCCCCCCCCACCCACCCCCCACCCCCCCCCCCCCCCCCCCCCCCCCCCCTCCCCCCCCCCCCCCCCCCCCCCCCCCCCCCCCCCGCCCCCCCCCCCCCCCCCCCCCGCCCCCCCCCCCCCCCCCCCCCTCCCCCCCCCCCACCCCCCCCCCCCCCCCCCCACCCCCCCCCTCCCCCCCCCCCCCCCACCCCCCCCCCCCCCCCCCCCCCCCCCCCCCCCCCCCCCCCCCCCCCCCCCCAACCCCCCCTCCCCCCCCCCCCCCCCCCCCCCCCCCCCCCCCCACCCCCCCCCCCCCCCCCCCCCCCCCCCACCCCCCCCCCCCCCCCCCCCCCCCCCCCCCCCCCCCCCCCCCCCCCCACCCCCCCTCCCCCCCCCCACCCCCCCCCCCCCCCCCCCGCCCCCCCCCCCCCCCCCCCCCCCCCCCCCCCCCCCCCCCCCACCCCATTTTTGATGATGATGAATGAGATGATGAACCGGTCATGGCAATGAAGGGAGACACAATGTTTACGGCCTCAAGCACAGCCTTTGAATGCCACCAAGCTCTATCGGGGATTGAGCAACGCCATTGGGGCAAATGGGTCGCTGAAATTCGTCTCCCTCGCAATAGAACTCGCCTCTGGCTTGGAACCTTCGACACTGCTGAAGATGCTGCCATGGCTTATGATCGTGAAGCCTTTAAGCTTAGAGGAGAAAATGCTAAGCTCAATTTCCCTGAACTCTTCCTTAACAAAGATAAAGCAGAACCATCCACACCTGCTCCTGCTTCTTCCTCCAACGAAGGTTCAACATCAACAATCAAGCCAGAACACTAAGCAACCTGAGCCATTACCAGAAGAGACCAACACTGAGAGCGAGACATGCCACCAACCGAGACATTAGCAGAAGAGAATGCTGAAACCGAGGAAGGAGTTTCACAGCCTCAGGAACTGGTCTGGGGAGAGTGGTTCAATACAATTCCTGCAGGTTGGGGTCCTGGGAGCCCTGTGGGATGATTTGGATCACAACAATCTTCTTCTGCATTCACAACTTCCCTTTGTGAATCAATCTCATCAAGAGTTCCATCATGATGCCGCTGGTGCTTTCTTCTCAGACACAACAAGATAACAACAACGCAGGACCACAGGTTCTTCCTCTCCCTCTTGTTCCATGAGGCCCTTCTTCTGAATGGTTAAGATTAAAATTCATGTCTAAATTCAAATAGTAGATATTCAGCATTCGGATCTCTCTGATTAGTCCTTCTCTTGGTTAGTGTCGGAGAACTATAATAAAGTCTCATATTGAACAATTAAAGAAACTTTTTAAACCATACACCTCTCCTGCTTGATTCAGTTAACATTCACTTCGAATTGAGTCAGTGCGAAAGTTCTAGCATTTCCAGATCCCATTAGCTTTCTTTCTTCTCCTGAACTGATAACTACAACCCATCCAGATATTCTATCTGGTCGGTTACTGAAGCTTCGCCACGTTCACATATGAGGACAAAACTGATAATACATCCCACCAACTTTATTTTGTTCTTACTGGTTGCTGATATTTTGAACAGCAGCCTGTGAATCATGGATGTTAAAGGCGTACAATTTTCTTTTCCTGGAAAATTCTTCTGTGATTAGCCTTCGTATTTTAAATGGCCTTTCAGCATCAGACTCGTACTTGGTGGGGCTTACCTTGTTCCTAGTGTTGTAGTTTGTTTTCTGGTTTTGGGTTTTATTAATATCATTATTCTCTTTGCTCTTTTGTACCATTTGTTGTTGCTTTTAACTATGCATGACCAAGAAGGAAACGTTTTTGTGATTTCCTTTTTAATGGCTGTTAGTTTATTCTGCAGATTCTCCAGTTCATAGATAATTGATGTAATGTTATGGCCGGACTTTATCACTACACCTCAACTGTTTCGTCTTTGGAATTATATTATTTATCTTCAAATATTATTAAAATTATATATTACATTTATTAAGATTCAAGTAATATGTTTTATACTAAAAATCAGCCTGTATATTATATATTGTCGGATCATAAATAAGTCATTTAAATTTAAGTAAACTATCTAATCAAAATTGTTTATCAGATAAGAAAAAAATAAGAAAACCTACTCTTCCCATGAACATCCATGTTATGTTACTATTATAGTTTGGATTTGCCATCATATTCATTCATAAATAAATATAGAAATGTTAATTCGCAATAGTGGGGTGAAAAACAAATATGTTAACTAATGTTGTTAATTGAAAGTTGTTAAAATATTTAATTAAATCATTATTGTTTTAGAAATTGATATATTAAATTAACGAATAATATAATAATATATTTATGTATTTTTTATATATTATATAGTTATTTTGAATAAAAATACTTTTTTAAGTGATTATAATTTCGGTCTTTTTTAGTTTTATAATAAATGAAAAAATTAACAATTTTGAACTTACGTCTTTATGTATCTAAATATCTATTAAATATTTAAATCTGTCGCTATTAACCTAATCATAGTACTTATATTAGGTCATTATTTTTTTATTCAGATACTAATATTTAATAAAAAAATAAACTGGTGGTAGAGTAAGAAAACTGACAAGATCTAACTAGAAAAAAGAATTTGGGTTTCAATTTCAATGTTTCGCAACTTGGGCCACATTGTTGTTATTTGTCTCTTACGGCTAGGACGGTGATGATGATAAAAAGTAGGTATCTTAAAAAGGTTTGAGTATTGTAAACAAAAACTATTTATGGACACTAATAATTAATCTATATCTAGTATCCAGGGGAGAAAATATTAAATAGATGCATGTGTATCTAAATATTTTACTAATTAAAGTGAGGAGTTTAATTTTCTTGAATGAATTTTGTTTCGGTAGGATTTTGTAAAACTGAGACACTAATCTTTGATTTGTGAGTTCCGCTTGTATGCTTCCGGTTTAAACCGATCGGTCCTCTTTTATATTGATCGTTCGGTGAATTTCAGTTTTGACCGCTCGGTCACCCTCGTGCAAAAGGGGGAGATATTTGCAAAATGCACTCTGACGCTCAAGTTATAAGTGGTTTTATGAACTGTTTGTTACAGTTAAATATTTAGGTCCTGATCGAACATAAGCAGGGCGTAGTGGAGTGTCAGTTGAATGTTAGTTTACCTCAAACCTAAACCCTATTTATAGAGTTTAAAGGAATCTGACCAATTCATTTACCTTTTAATGATCATTAATGCAAACCTTAACTATCTAACGGTAGTCATTACCACATTTATTTGTGCATTAACTCTGCTAAAGAGTTGTCGGGACCGAACGACTGAGAAACTTGTCGAGACCGAACGACTATGAGCCCATAGTAACATAAGCCCCCCAAGTCCGAGTTACAGAACGGTTAATTATAGGACTTATGAGTTTGAGGGAGGTTGTTCTCGTTGTATTGAGGAACTTGCTTTCCATGTGCCTCAAGTTGTTGTATCTTATTTGGGCCGAACGGTTTCATGTGTTGAATCTTGTCATCCGTACTATACGGTCGTTTGGCTACATACTTGAGTCTTAGTCCATGTTACCAAGGCTTCCTGGTTGGCGAGAAGTAAATCGTTTGGTTTGAAAGGATTTTCCTCTCGGTCTGACATCAACTTTCTAGGTGACAGGAGGGATTTACCTCTCGATTTTTGTCTTTAGAGCATTCTGGTTGACGAGAGGGATTTACCTCTCGGCCGAGAGGGATTTACCGCTCAGTTTTCAACTTCAACGAGAGGAGTTTATCTCTCGGTCGAGAGGGATTTACCGCTCGGTCTTTAACTTCAGCTTTCTGGCTAACGAGAGGCATTTACCTCTTGGCCGAGAAGGATTTACCTCTCGGTCTTTAACTTCAACGAGAGGAGTTTCCCTCATGGTCGTGAAGGATTTACTGCTCGGTCTTTAACTTCAACGAGAGGAGTTTACCTCTCGGCCAAGAGGGATTTACCGCTCAGTCTTTAACTTCAGCTTCCTGGCTGACGTGAGGGATTTTTCTCTCGGCCGAGAGG